TTTCGAAATGGATAGTAAATACAATTGTCCTGTCTTATCAGTTAGCTGATAAGGCCTTTGCGTCAGGGGTCCTGATGGAAGATGTGTGCAGAGCGGCCACTTGGGCTACCCCGTGTACCTTTGCCAGATATTATAGACTCGAGGTCCGTGCCAGACAGGATTACTCTTTTGGCAGAGTTGTTCTTTCTTCTGTCCTTCGATGATGACACCTCCCTCCTCCAGTTGGGGTAAGCTTGTTATTCTACCCATATATGTGATGCACAGAGGCCACGATGAAGAAGAGCAGGTTGCTTACCTGTAACTGATGCTCTTCGAGTGGCCATCTGTGCAGTCACACAACCCACCCTCCGACCCCACTTGGTGTCATGGGTGGTCCGACTGTCTTCTTTCGATACTGTAATCTCTTTGGACATGTGTCGTACCACTACTGAATTTGGCTATATTGTCATACTGACATGCCTTGTATTAAGGAACAAACATCGGTCTTTCAAAGACTGGAAAATGGCGGACACTCTGCTCCTTATATAATGCTAGGGGGGAGGGGGAGCGGAGTTCCCGCCAAAAACCGTTAGCTGTTAATCTTCCGGCCAAAGGCACTGCGCAGGCGCAGAACCCATATGTGTGACTGCACAGATGGCCACTCGAAGAACATCAGTTACAGGTAAGCAACCTGCTCTTCTTGAAGGATTTTTTGTTCTTTTAAATAAGAAGCTTATTTTAAGCTCTAAAATAGAGCTGCCAGGCTGTTGACGGGGACTGGGCGGTATGTTCACATTGTTATATTCACATAGGCTCCCCACTGAAGTCCGGGCCCAATTCATGTTGTTGGTGATGACCTATAAAGCCTTGAACAGCTTGGGTCCTGGTTACCTGAAGGAGCGCCTATGTCCATATATGCCTGCCCACCCCTTAAGATCAGCGGCAGATGCCCTTCTCCGGGAACCCTCCGTGAAGGAAATTAGGAGGGTAAGTACTTGGAGGAGGACTTTCTCTGCGGTGGCACCCAATCTATGGAATGCACTCCCCAGAGAGGTCCGCCTGGCGCTGCCATCATTTGTTTTTTAGCACCAGCCCAAGATCTTTTTATTCAAACGTTATCTTAATTGTTAATATTATTTATTTATTTTATATTCTGGCCAGGTCGACTCAAATTATATTGTTTCTATATTGTGGTTATTTATTTATTATTGTGAGCTGCCCCGAGGCTTCGGCAAATGGGGTGGCATAGAAGCTTCCTAAATAAAGAAATAAGTGATGCTTCTCTCTCCTCCCCGGCAGCTGGAAGGCTGAGAGTGTGCCGATACAGAAAACAGTCGGACAGAGCTGTAAGGAATGCAGATGAAAGCTAATTAACATCCCAGGACTAACTTTGTAAGAAAATTTATAAGAAATATATATAAGAATTATATCTTATACATATATATATAAGGTCATCAGATTCAAGCCTTTCCTGATCTATGTAATGAGACTTTGCAGTGGAGAAGAGATATGTCTCAAGTCTGTCAAATACTCCAAAGAATTCCATAAAATATAGTTGAGGGTTCCCAATTTTTATGAAGTTTGCATATAATGCTAAACTGAGAGACGAGACAGGATTGTCCTTTATCCCCAATATCTTTTGCTTTAATGATGGAAATATTGGCAAATGCAATTAGGAATGATAGACAAAAGGAATTGGAGTCCGTCAGAAAATTAAAATTAATTTGTTCACAGATGACACATTGCTAACATTTCAAGACCCAATAAATACTATAGAGAGAATATATTCACATTTAAAGGAATTTGGGAAATATAGTGGATTGCATGTTAATTGGGAAAAAGCTGAAATGATGTTATATAATCATAATAGTGAAGAAGTGGATATGTATATTAAAAGAAAAATGTAAATTAAAAATAGTGCACAATATTTGATACTTAGAAATTGATATTCCAAAAGATAGTCAAGAATTAAGAAAAATTATGAAAAATTAAAAGAAGGACATAAAAGATAAAACAGGAAAATATGAAAAGGTACAATTGTCATGGTTTGGAAGAATAGCAGTTAGAAAAATGAAAATACTGCCAAAGGTTTTTTTGTTGTTGTTGTTGCTTTTTGTTTTGGATGATTCCAGTCAGGTTTCATGATCATGAATTAACAGAGATGCAGAAATTATTGGAGGTTTATTGTAATGGAGGGAAGAGAGCAAGAATAAGTAAAGTGCTGTGGTATGAATAACAAAAAAAGGAGGGATGGGCATTCCAGATGTTAAAAGTATTGGGTTGCAACCCAATTAAAGATAGTTCCAGATATTGTAGCCCAAAATAAAGAATTAATATGGATTGATATCGAATTAAAAGAATTAAGGGAAATAGGTGATCATTTAGAGACATACTGGTTTAAAAAGGATATTAAAAAGATTAAGTGAATTCAAAATCCCTTTTTAAAAAATACGATGGCATATGGGAAAAATGGAGACAACAGTTAATCCCAGGAACTTCTCAGTTAACACCAGTGGTCGAAATGGAGAAATTCCCAAAAATAGAATTAAAGGATTGGAAAACGAACTTAAAAAATAACCATGTATACACATATATATAGACGGGAAGACTGGAAAAATAAGATAAAAATATATTACAATTGTGGAGTATATTGCCAGAGGTTAAATTAAATAGGTTAAATCTAATTCACTTNCCCGGGAACTTCTCCGTTAACACCAGTGGTCGAAATGGAGAAATTCCGAAAAATAGAATTAAAGGATTGGAGAACTAACTTAAAAAATAATCGTGTGTGTGTGTGTGTGTGTGTGTGTGTAGATGGGAAGACTGGAAAAATAAGATAAAAATATATTACAATTAAGGAGTATATTGCCAAAGGTTAAATTAAATAGGTTAAATATAATTCACTTAGACAAATGGAGAAAGATGGAGGATAAATTTAAAGAAGAAAGGCAATTAACAAAATTTGAAACATTATAAAAGAATTGAGTTTGAGGAAGAATGTACAAGTAAAGGAAGAATTGCCAAAATCGATAGGATATTAATGGAGTTAGGGAATCAAACAAAAAGTTTAAAATCCATTTGGGAATTAGATGTAGGTGAAATAAAAGACAAGGACTGGAAGAATATTTGGAACAGAAGAGATCACTGAGAATGGTGTTATTACTGTTGAAAGAAAAACAAGATATAAATGAAGCTAAGCAAGAATTGATTGTAAGTATGATAATGGCAGTTGGGCTAGCAATAGTTCAATATTGGAAACAGAATTGCGTTTTGCAAAGGCATGAATGGTGTAATGAAATATGGAACGTGGTAATTAATGATAAACTGGTGACAGAAATAAAACTTAAAAGAGGGTTAATGAAAGCAAATGAATATAATGAAATCTGGGAAGGTTTTGTAAAAGCGGTACTGATAGAAGGCAAAGGCTGTAAACCCAGCCAAGATTATATGAACTTCTGGAGGGGATATGGAAATAATTGAAGCATATTAAATATTATTAGTTGTTATGGTGTGTGAACGGTGGTAGCATTGGTCTCCGGGGTGGCGGGGGCACTTTATCGTTTACTTTTTATTATTGTTTTTGTTATATTATTATTGTTGTGATGTATTGTAATTATGGGGGGGGTTTTGCAAAAAAAATGGGGGGTAAAAAAAAGAAATCAAACATGGGAGATCCGTGGAAGCGGCTGGGGAGAAGGGGACGGTCTTCCTCAGTGTTGTCCGCAGAAGTGGGGTTTGGTCGAGGCGTGTGCAGTGCCCGATCAAGCACTCCAGGGGCGGGAGGTGGAAAAGGCTTTATTCTGCAGAAAAAGGCCTCCCTGCACAGAGAGGGCAAAATGGCGCCCCGCAATAAAGTACTTTCCTTTTTATCCTGTTTTACGGGAATGTCAAAAGGCACTGGCAGAGTCTTGTCTTTCAGGGTCACCGGACCGGCTCTTTCCTAAACCCCTGTATGGGCACATCCAGGGGAACTTGGCTCTCTCCTTCAGCCATGTCGCCATCTGCTTTATGGAGCAATATTGGACTACCTCACAGGAGTGTTGTAAGTATCATTGAGAACAGTGTTTCTAAGGGCTCTACTTAAAAAAAAGCTTAATAAATGGGTAATAGTAACAATAATAGTTTTTATTCAGTAGTCTGGTGGGGCCTCAGGACTGGCGGGATGCCGGTGAGGGCCCGCTCCGGGCTCCCCTCCCTGCGCGGCCTGAGGACCCTCTGTCAGCCTGGGCACCTGGCTGGATGAGGGCCAAGGAGGACCGTGCCACCCACCCCTTGATGCCCCCCGTTTGCTCATTTACACTATTCGCACGCCGCTAAATGCTTTTGAATCCCTCATCCGTTTCCATAAATGTATCAAAATCACACGTAAATACAAACTGAAAGACAAAGGAATGCAGCGCAATTACGGGGAGCCAGATGGGGCCTGTAATGCCCTAACTCTCTTGGTGTCGGATTGGTCCCTCCCGGACCCTCGACCAGAACACCTTTGCTGCCCTCGGAGGCTGGCATCCCCCGGGCGGCCCTGAACCCGCCGCCTTGACCCTCCCGGGAGCCAACCCAGCACCCTTCACCCTGAGCGGGTGACGGCGCGGCTCGCCAGGGCTTCCCCGCATCCCGCCTCCTCCAGCTCCGGCCTCCCCCACCCGGCCTTTTCCGCAGCGCTTCCCGCGATCGCTCCTCCTGCTACGGCCTCCGCTTTTCCCGCCAGGTGCCAGTTGCCGGCTGCAGGCCCGCCATTGGCTGAGCTGGCCCATGATGTCACAAAGGCCCCGCAGCCTGCGCTTCCGAGGTACGGACGGAAAGGCGAGCGCTTGATTTCGGGGAGGGAACCCTCGATTTTGGCGTGTGCGGACGGTGTGGGGACAGGAAAGCAGGCACCCATTGCCGGAAAGCCGGTGCATCTGGGAGGATCATGTGCCACACCAGGGCCCCCTACCCTCGTTCAGTGGAGATTCGGGGCTCCAGAGGAAAGGGTTTGGGGCAGCTGTCCTTGGGGGCAGCCTCTTGCTTCTGGGTCCAGGAAAACCCCTCCCAGTCTGAGCACTGGCAAAAGACATGCAGTGCTCTGATTCCCAATGTTTACTCTCCATTTTTCCTTAGTTTTGGCACTGCTTTCTTGGTTCCAGGCAGTTAGAAACATAGAAACAGAGTGAGTCAGAAGGGGTCTCCTGGGCCATCTAGTCTGACCCCCGGCTCCAGCCGGCTCCGCTCATGACCCGCCCACCACGTGCATGTCTCGTTCCCCAGATGGAGTTTCTTAATTCATACATGGCAAGTAGTTCAGAAGTCTGACATTTTGATTCCCAAGTTTTTGCAATTCCATGCCAGCATGAAAGTCCTTTGGAAGGATGCAGCTTCCAGTCAAAGAGCGTGTAATATCGGCCTGCCTGGCCTTTCTTAACACCACTGGGGCAAAAAGTGGTCTTTTTCTCCTTGTTCAGGAAAAGCATGACTTGCTCTCCCGGAAACCTCACTTCCACCCTGATGGGTATTTATCCGCTGCATCGTCTTTCTCTGGCCACTCTCTACCTGTCCATTTCTTCCCACGGCCACCAGCTTTCATGCCCGAGATGGGGGCAAAGATTCAGCCGATTTGGCCCCAGAGCAGCTTGTGTGGCAGAGGTTCACTTGGGCTGCATCCTGCTGCCTCCTGCTGGGGGGAATCAAGCAGACAGAGCGCCCCACGGGGACATGTCCTGCACCTCTGGTCCCGCAGGTCCAAACCTCAGCTTTCAGTGGTGCAGTGAGCTGAACAGCACAGCAGCTTAATTAAGAAATTTAATTGCAAAGGTACCGAACTCAGCCAGTCAACAGCTGGGGCAAACCAGGGTGGACCCCAGACCAGGGTCGAAAGGGGCCTGAGACGAGACTTAGAGCCAAAACCAGCTTTATTCTAGTGCACTATAGAATGAAGGGAGACAAAAGGGGACATTCAGCCCAAAGCAGTGTCTCGAAAGTTGCATCCCAGTACATGTGTTTTATACCCTAGGTAACCACTTAGGTCCAATACACATCTGATACATCCATGCATCAATGTACGCACCCCTCCCGTGCTGGAGAAAGAGTCCTTCTGTCAAGGACCAGGCATTTCCCATGTCTGTTTCTTATCTGCTCGAGATTCACACAGGCTTGCCATGTTCTGACTCCCTGCACATTTGCAACTTTCATGGCAGCTGTAACCAGTTTCCACTGTCCCTTTGATTACTGTATTCGAGGTCAGGCTAGCGTGTTCGCTGTGGGTTACACAAAGTTCATTTTGNTGTCCCTCCTCCAGCCAGATCTGCATCGGAGGAGAGAAGGGGGGCGTCTTGCATTTGCCTCGATTGCCAAAGCTCATGTCAGACTTCATAAGGCACAAAAAAGGGGCTAAGCGAGACGACACCAGAAACCTGAAGAGGAGCAAATCGGGCATCTGTCCCTGAAGGAAATTGCCAGAATTATTCTCCTTTCATGCTCAGTCTGTGACCTTCAGTTTGGAGTGATCTGAGGCAGGAGGATTCCCAAGATCTTGGGTTTTTGCCCCAAGCTAGTGGGTATTTCCGAAGCTCACTAAGTTGCCAACGGTGGATGGTGGAACCCCTTTCTTGGACCTTTGGGGGTCCAGGAAGTCCAAATTGCTGAAGCTTTCGTTGTGGGCCAGATGTCCTCTGGGGGGATTCCTTGGTGCCCAGGAGAGGCCGGCCCCCTGCCAGGCGCTGGAGAGGTTCTGCATTCATCCAAGGGGTGCTCTTTCTGCAGAGCCCCCAGAGGTGACGGTGACCAGAAGGGCAGGCCAGGACGACACGGAGACCCTCACCTGCCGGGCCTACGGCTTCTACCCCCAAGAGATCGACATGGTGTGGACCAGGGATGGGGAGGTCCGGCAGCAGGACGCCTCCCGTGAGGTCCTGGCCCCGAACTCAGATGGGACTTTCTACGCCTGGCTCAGCGTCAAAATCAACCCCTGGGACAGGGTGCGCTTCCTGTGTCGCGTGGAGCATGACGCCTTGCAGACGCCGGTGGAACTAGCCTGGGAGGAGCCTGGTGAGGGACTGCAGAGGTGGGCCGGGGGGGGGGGGGGCTTCTTCCTTGGAGAAGAGGATCCTGGGAGGTGAATTTTCCCCTGAGGGAGATGTGGGCCAAACTGTGAGAACCCTGCGCTGCACCCGTGATCCCTGGTTGGCATCATCTGGGGACGGCTCACTGATGTGCTTATGAACACTGCTTTACCCACCTGAGGCAACCAAGCCCTGCCTCGTGGGCCCTCAGGTGGAGCTCTGTGCCGCAGGCCGAAGCTGACGGCCCGCTCTGCCCGAGCTGAGGTGCCACGGCTGCACAAGCTTGACACATTCTTTGCAGATGCGTCCAGCAAATCCCAGCATGTGCGATCTTGGGCTTCCAGCTTCCCCCTTGAGGAAGGAGCCCTCACCTCCTGCCAGAGCTCAGGAAGGACCCAGGCAGCCCTGAACATGGGATGGAGGGTGGGGGCTCGTCCGTGCTCCCCCCCCAGTTTGTTTCACCTTTCCAGATTCCAAGGACTGCCCAGTCCTCCAGCCACTCATTGCATGAAGCAGACTTCAAAATGTGGCCTCCTTTGCTCTTCCCCAAATCCCCCTCCAGCGTCCATCCTTGACCACCTTATTTGGCCCACCACGGGGGTCCTCGTGCTGCTCCCGGGAATTGTGCTTGCTGTGTTATCCCTCAGTAAGTAAAATTAGGGTGCATTTTCGGGGTGGGGAGAGTGGGTGGGCTGCTTCACCCAGAAAAGCTGCCACGGCCCAATTTCATGTGACATGTTGTCACAGCGCAACTGCTTTGGATCATCCTGGCCTGTTCTGGGCCTGGGGGAGGTTCTCCTGTCAGGAGGAGCCTGTAGAAACATCTGGAGGGCAACAAGGGGGTGGCTTTGCAGCTGCAGAGGATGAGACGGGACGGTCCCTGACCTGGAGCTGTGGCCGTGGTTGTGTTTCCGCAGAGGCGCTTCGAGGTGCCTACGGACCAGCATCGGGTGAGTGTGTCCCCCTTTTGCTGGGTCTCTCCAAGGCCGGGCAGGCCCCTCTCGGGTGCATATGGGGCCCCGGGAGGATCCGCTCAGGGGTGGAGGGAGGCGGAGGAGGGGCTCTGGCTCAGCCCGGTGATGCGGCCGCCCGGAGTGCCGAGAGAGAAGCGCCCAGCCTGCCAGTGAGTCAAAGGGAGCTCTTCCCATCAAGGGGTCCTGGGGCCCCGGCCCGGCTGTGTCTCTGCCCCAGACCCACCAGACACGCCATGAGACCCCGAGAGCGTGTGTGTGCTTGTGTGTGTCTCCTGCTCTCCCAGTGGCAGGAAACACGCACCTCGGAGGACTAACGGGTGTGTTTGTGTGCCCACCTCTGTCGGAGCATTTGCAGAAATGCTGTCTAAAAACCACTCTGCCCTCGGGGAAATCCTTGCATGCACGGGTATCGTTCATGTGCGCATGAGCTCACCTGATGGAGGAGGTCTGAGCGGCTCCTGCTCTTGGGCAGAGAGCCGGCAATCGCAGGAGACGGCTGCCAGCGTCCGGGACATGGGCGGCGGGGTGTCAGGTCAGGGCAGCAGGACCCAGGCAACCGGCACAATATGCAGGCCCATCCCAAATCGTAGTCCGTCAGTCCAGGGGTCAAGGTGAGCAACAGAGGAGCAAGGCAGGTCAATCGGAATGGAGCAGAGCAGTCAATGCCAGTCAGGAGTCAGAAGCCAGAGGGACAAGCCGAGGAGAAGCAGAAACCTGGGACTGGAGCGGAAGCTGGAGCAGGGGAAGCCGGGCAGGGCCCAGACACAGAGGCAGCAGCGAGGCAACCGGCAGTGATTCCAGAGAGAGGCGCCAGCGGGAGCAGGGGGCTCCAGCAACGCCAAAGACCCTTTGCTGCTGAGGCAGCTTCTGGACAGAAGAGCCGGTTCTGCTAGAGCCCTTCCCTCTGGGCCCCCAGGTGGTGCTCGCAGCAGCCCATGTGGCTGGAATTGGTGGAGGGCCCGGTCCCGCAGCCGCCAGGGCTGCTGTTCCGGTCTCTGGCCAGGAGCCCCGGCTCTGCCTCAGAACTGCACAGCAGCTCTCCTCCTGCCCTCCGGCCTGCCCCTGGCTGCAGCCCCTTCTCGGTGCCCCACAAGCGAAGGGGGCCGCTGTATTCGGGGTGGCATCAGGTCAGGGGAATCCTCATCTGTTGCGCTGCCTCTGGGGAGCTGCCCTGGCCTCCCCGGGTGCCCCATCGCTGCGCTTCCGAGCAGAGCGCTGGGGCCGCCTGCCCTGGGGGGCGTCCGGAGAGGCGTCTGGGGGGAGCCTGGGGTGTGGGACCGGGGGACCTCTGACGCGGAGCTGTGCTGCATTTGTGTGTTTGCAGAGATACTTCAAGGCAGCTACAGAGCCACAGAACGTGAGTGTCGCCTCCCTGCTCGCTTGTTTGCTCCCACGCAGGGCAAACGCCCCAGGTTTGTTGGGCCCCTGAACCCATGGTCGGGCTTCGGATGGCAGTACCTGTGCTTGTCTCTTTGCAGAGCGTCTTCAAGAGGGTTATGAAGAAGCAAGAGGTGAGTGTCGCCTCCCTGGTCGCATGCCAGCTCCACCGCCAGGCTGGCCGCCCTTGGGCAGGAAACGGAGGGGGGCAAGGAGGGCCATTTTTTTATAAAGCAGGCCCCTCTCCTGGCCCGGATGGCCCCCCTCTTGGCTGGAGTCAACGGAGCCCCCATTCTGTGTGTCCCTGTCCATGGGGCGGAAACTCCCTCTCTGGGGCGCCTCTGGGCACGTGCCCGGCCTCCGTGTGGGAGCTTTGGGGCCTCCGTCCCTCGAGCGAGGGAGGGAGCGGCTGGAGAAGTGCGTGGTGGGGAGCGAGGGGGGGGCGTTGGGGCTGCAGGGGGAGGTGGAGGACTCCTGACCTGGAGCGCGGCCTCTTTGTCCCTTTGCAGGGAGACTCCAAAGGAGTTACAAAGAAGCCAAAGGTGCGTGTCGTCTCCCTCCTTGTGTCCTTCTGCAAACACGGGGCATGCGTCCCCTGCGTGGGGATGGAGGTCGTGGGAGGGGCAGGAGGGGGGTGCAGGTGGGGGTGGGCAAGGACTGGAGGTGCAGGTGGGGCTGGGGGGTGGAGAGGATCGTGGCAGCCGGGGGTGAAGACACGGCTGCCCGCTGCGCCCCCTCCCCAGGCGACCTCCCTCCTCGAAGCAGCGCTGCAGGGAGAGAATCGTGCCCCTGGGCCTGCTCTGCCCCTGCGGGAATAACGGGCCCCCTCCGAGCGGCAGGCTGCTGCTCATGGGAGAGCACCGGGAAGGCCCAGAGGGAGGCTAACGACCCGAAGAGCCGTGGGTCTCGGGCAGGGAGCTTGTCCTCCCGGGAGGGGCTTCCGCAGAGCCATGTCCGGCAGGTATCTGGGGAGTGAGAACAGGCAGGTTTATGGGGCGGAAGGGCTGAGTCCGAGCATTTGGCTGCCCCAGAAGTATAGGGCAGGGCTGATCCGGGGCCGAGGGAGATGCTCGCCGCTGGGCAAATTGACTGACTCCTGTGGGTTCCTCAGGCCCCTTTGGGGTTGGCTAGTTCGATCCGAGATGCACGTCCCTGTTTGGGTCTCAACGGATTCTGCCTTTTTCTAGGGGCAGCAGGGCCACCTCTGGGAGCGTGTGCCTGGCTCTCCAGGGGAGCTCCCCCCCTGCAGCTGTGTGGGGAGCTCTGGGGCCGGGAGACGGTGCCTGCCCCCGTTTGAGGTCCCTGCACCCCCTCAGTTCTGCAGGGAGCGTTGGCTTCCCTTCTCCGGAGGGAGGTGTGTGGAGGGGGGAAACATCTGGGGGAAGGAAGCTTGGAGGCTTCGTGGCTGCAGGGGGTGAGACTGGTGGAGCTCTGACTTGGGTTGTGCCTCATTTGTGCTTTTGCTTGGACTTCCTCTCAGAGCCCCAAAAAGTGACTATTGCCTCTCTCCACATGTTCACGCCAACACAGGGCAGGCCTCCCTAGGCCAGGAAAAGGGGACACAGGGAGGAGTTGGTGAGGGTTGGTAGGGAGTCGGGCAGGAATTCCGGGCTTCGGGCGCTGGAGATCCGGCCCCCTGAGGGGGAGCCCAGGGTCGCCTCGGCATTGGCGCATTCCAGTGGCCAGGGCTGCCCCGTCCAGGCGACTTGGCCTGCAGGCCGGGCCGCTGCACCATCAAGCAGAGCTAGCAAGGACCCCAGCCAGGAAGGAGGGCAGAGAAAGGGATCCCCGCTTGAGCAGAAGGGGGCCTGCTCCTGGACCCCGAGCCAGAGGGGGGCGGTCCCAAGGGAGGTACGGCAGGGCAGTGCAAGGAAGGGTGAGGGGCTGGCCGACCGGGATGTCTCCATGTTGCCCTTCGAGATCGGGGAGAGGGTTCCTTGGGGGTCCTCGGAATGGGCTGCCTGGATCCAAGATGCCCATCCAAGACGGGCTCCTCCCG